CCCCAAAACCCCAAAACCCCAAAACCCCAAAACCCCAAAAATATTATAAATTATTGAGATGCACAGATATCTCATCAGAGGAAATCCTTCAGTTTTCCAAGCTTTCAGAGGAGGAACGCAGAATATAGCAGCGAAGGAGCCAATTCAAGGCTATGAAAGGCTCAAAGAGTATTATGAAACAGCTCAGGATTCAAGATTTGATCATCTTCTGTACTCAATAGAAGAGCCTTCTACACAGACTTATCTTTGGGATGTCTATCATGGGTCAGAAGAATACCCAGGGAATATATTTTACGTAACTAACAACCAAACTGCAGGTAAAGGGAGGAAGAACAACAAATGGGTGGCGAATGACTCTACTCTATGTTTTTCATATTCCTACTGAGTACACACAAAATCACGATCCTCTTCCACTGAATATTTCAAGTAGGCATTATCATTACCTGTAGAGAGTTAGCGTTCTTGCCCTATCTGAATGGGATCTGCTTGGTAAAGGCACTTCCAGGGTATAGATTGTTCCTAAAATGGCCTAATGATTTGTACGGAGTCAGCCTAAAACATTCAGAGCTTGAGCTAAAGTATGTATTTTCATACAGCTAAATTTTGAAATATTTTAGGGATTCAAGCAAAATTAGGAAATATTCCAAGAAAATTGGAGGAATTTTGTGTGAAAGTGAGGAAATTCATGGTAAAATCACAGCTATTTGTGGAATTGGAGTAGGGTTTTGTTCAAACTTTAGATCAATTGGGATCAAGCTCCGAGTGATGATTTCATGGATATACAACAAATTTCAGAGGATGGTTCAATTTCAAGGGGCGAATTTTTGAAACAATTCCTTGTAAACTTCGAAAAATATCAACCTTTGCTTAAAACAGCAAGAGGTAAGCTTTAGGACGTTAGATGTAGGGAGAAAAGAAATTTCAGAAATAGTTCAACATCATTGGATGCATTCAGATCAATCTGTAACAGTGAATTCACCTGATTTCAAAAATCGTAATTATTTTAACAATTCTAGACAAATTTAAGGCAAAAATAACTGGAATTTCAGATACTGGGCTATTAGAAGTTGAGTCAATGTATGGAAGCTTTGAAGTAAATTATCTCAATTGATTCATTAGGTATACCCAGACAATCATTCATTTGACCTCCGTTCAAACTCTATCATTCAAAAGAAGTAGTTAAACATCAAAAATCATTCAATCTACAGTTTAAAAATAGGGGTTTTGGGGTTTTGGGGTTTTGGGGTTTTGGGGTTTTGGGG